TACTCGCCAATCTTGGATTTGTCAGCCTCCACAGCCCATGAGCCAGCAGCCTGCCATGTGACAGCCTGCCATGTGACCTGCCGATCTTGGGTTTGTCAGCCCCTGTGGCTACGTAAAATCAGGAGAAGCCTCCAGCCTGATGTCTGACTCACAGACTTGGGACTTGCCAGTCTCTACAACTGCGTGAGCCATTTCCTTGAGATAGATAGATCTCTGTCTCTCTCTGTCTGTCTTTCTCTCTCTCTCTTAAGAACCCAGCCTAAGACAGGCCTCATTTACAGAAATGTATGGCAAAATTCGGGCTGGTTTCCATACAAAAATATGAAATATGAATGTGAATTTTCACTCTTAACGTGATTTTATGGAATTTAAACTATTCAAAGTTTTAAACACTTAGGAAAATCTGGTCACATTAATTAAAGAATACAACTTATTATTATATTTGCTATTGATTCAACTTTGAGACAAAAATTTCCTAATATTCCTCTTTCATGCTCCACCCACTGCCGTCAAGTTGATTCAAACTCCTAGTGACCCTACAAGAAAGAGTAGAACTGCCCCATAGAATTTCCAAAGCTGTAATCTTTATGTAGGCAGGCTGCTATATCTTTCTCCCTCAAGGCAGCTGGTGGGTTTGAACCACCAACCTTTCTGTTAGCAGCTGAGTGCACTTAATCACTGTGCCACCAGGGCTCCTTTTCATGCTCTGCATTAGTTTAACTGAAGTGAATCCTGAGATTGAAAAGTAAATCATTAGCCGGCAGTTTCTATTTACAACTACTTATCTGCATAAATCAGTGCAACAAAGTAAATTATAAACCAAATCCACTGCCGTCGAGTCAATTCGAACTCAGGAACCCTATATGACAGAGTAGACTACCCAGTGGGTTTCCAAGGCTGTAATCTTTACAGAAGTAGACTGCCACATCTTCCTCCCGTGGAGCAGCTGATGGGTTGAAACCGCCGACCTTCAGTTAGCAGCCAAGAGTTTAATCACTTGCTACCAGGGCTCCTCAAGTAAATTACAGAAATAAATTATTATAGAAATGCAAATATCATCTCTAAACCAATGAAAACTTTCTGTCCACTAAAATAACCTCGTGATTTAAACACTGACTTTAAATGGTATATACGTGGGCTTGTAAAATAAATTTAAACTAAAAAGTTCATGACTTCATCTAAAATTATCAGGAGAAAGTCACTCCTTAAAATCTTGCTTACTTCTCCAAAAATAAAAATTCATATAAAGTGACACTTTATTTTGCACCATTTGCTTTGTCCTATTCTTCTCAAAAAACGCAGACCTGTACTTCTGGAATATGAAAAAGCATCGCACTTATATCTCCCCCCAAAGCTCTCCCCAAGTTCTTTCACAAAATGCCTCAAATTTCTTTATGATAGGTATTTTTCCACATTTAACAAATGTTGAAACTAAAAGCATCACCTTAACATAAAATTCAAATACGTCTCTTCTAGTACTCATCTCACTTAAAAGCTTTCCCTAAACTATTAGACTTACTACCAACTAATAATGAGCTTTCTTGCTCAGCATACGCTCAAAACTGAAAAAAAAATTTTAAAAAAAACACTACCTTCCTACATAAGCTCTACAAGGTTATATTACTTACATAAAATTCTGTTTCTTCATTAGCACAAAATCATCTTACCCCACTGATCCTTCAAAATCAATATCCTGCTTTTAGTGCAGGTCAAAAATTGAGAATTTTTTTTTTCCAGTTGGTGCAAGAATTAGGGAAATCATTTGAAAATGAAAACCACCACCACCAGCACTGGTACTGTTTTAAGCACTTTGTAAGTATTAGTTCATTCAATCCTCCCAACAACTTACGAGGAGCCCCAGGCGGTGCAAACGGTTAAGCAACAGACTACTAGCCAAAAGGCTGGCGGTTCTAACCCCCTGTCCCTCAAGAAGGGCTCTGGAAGACAGGTCTGGTGAGCTGCTTCTGAAAGGTCATAGCCTTGAAAACCCTATGGAGCAGTTCTATTCTACTCTGCACACATGGGGTCACATGGGGTTGCCATGAGTGGGAATCAACTCAACAGCAACTAACAACAACAACCTATGAGGCAGACACTTTTATGCCATTTACAGATTAGGAAATGAAGCACAGAGGAGTTAAGTAATTCGGGTAGCCACACCACTAGTAGGTGGAAGAACCAGGATTTAATCTCAGACAGTCCCAGTGCACATACCATGCTCGTAATTCTCTAGCAATACACCGCCTCAAAGTAAGAACCATCACTTAATAGGTGTCCACATTATTTCAAAACAGAGAAACTTAAGATTTTTGCGTTTTGTGACAAATTAGATCAAATGATACACAAATATTCTAAGCTGTCAGATTAAATTGTAAGAAATAAAGACTGTTATTAAAGAAAACCAAGCCAATAAGATTTATATTAAACAAGAAACTCCCTTTAAATGAACTTAATTTGAGAATTTTAATACAAATTAATACATGACTGATAAGTTCAAATTACATATTCATATAGAAATGCTTGATATTTTTTGAACATTAATCATAAACAACGCCAAGTAACAGACCTTCAAAACACATTATGTTGCTAACATGGCACTTCACCAGAACTATCTGGCAACTCACCTAACCAGAACACAGCAAAAAAATCACTACGAAAGTGACTCTAGACAATCAAAACAGATATTCCAATGATCAGGTATTGACACTTTCCTCAAAAGAGGCCCTCACACACTGCCTATTTCTTTTCCCCCTGTGTAGAATCACAAATTTAAATGCAATTTTCCCACTTCTAAAAAAAAAAAAAAAAATTAGAGAGGGTGAAGGAGGGCAGTAGCAAGACAGAAAATAAAATATTTTTTAAATAACTTCAAAACGCAAGATTAACAATCTTAACATACAACCCAACAGATCCTCAAGGCATCCGGGTAACTGATGATCACAAATGACGACCCAACGTCATCAAAAGTGGTTAAACTGTATTCTGCATCCTATTTAGGACAGAAAATAACTGTATATATAATTTTAGTATGACTTTCATCCAAAACGGTTAAAGTGGTTTTATAATTAATTCTTAAAGGAGTAATCCAATTATCCAGTAAATTCACCTAATCAATTAGAAAGGCATTAACCTGAAAGTTCCAAATAGCAAAAGTTTTACTGATTCTGAGTTCAAGTGTACTTTGTGTATAAAACTTACCTGAAAGTAGAGGGGAAGGAGGGACATAAAAGTAGAAAGTCGAACAGAGAAGAGCTAGGCAAGTATCTATAAACACTATGGCTAAAGCATCCCCCACTAGAAAGTGTGGGCAGAGGGTGCCACATCAGCAGTACTCTGTATTTATCCTGCTTCTAAACTATTCGTTGTTTCATGAATTATTAATTTTGGTTACTGGTTTGTTGATATGAAGCAGTACCAACTCCTCAACTGCAGTAAGTGAGAGCGTCCTCCTCTGCAAAACCGAGGATGAAGTTACTCTTACAGAACACTCTCTGCCTTACAGTGGCACGAATTCGAATTTTTTAAAAAAGCTATTCTCTTTCAAAGTGATTTTAATTTTTAAGGAATTGAGGGAGTTAGTGCCTAGCCCACATCGAACTCTGTTATCAAATGAATTGTTACACTATTCAACAAAACTCCTTTTCAAACCAGCCTGCAGTGCATTCTAGTTTCTCTAGCGCCAAACAAAACTTTAAAACACCAAGTAAATAACATTAAGACCTTGTACTTTTCTCTCCTCTAGCAAGGAAGTCTGACTCCAAACAGGAAACTGCTCCTATAAGGGTTCAACACTGAAATCCTATCAAACCCTAGCCCAGACCTCAGGAGGAGATTTAATATTTAAGCGCCAACACAGTTGCTTAAGTAGAACCACCAGAGTAAATACTCAAGTCTCCTTGTCCTTGAGGCATCCCTTGGAAGTTTTGGCAGGAAAAAATTTTGCTTTTTCTAACAACAAAGCCTCGCAAAAGATAAAGAAGTAGAAAATGCTACTTTGTCAAGTTTTTTGATCACCCTCCCCCATCTGACGGGGGGTGGGGGGAGGGAAGAGAGCCCGGGGCTGATTTTAGCCGGGCAGAGGGGCGAGGAGAGGCGGCCGCCCCCAACTTTTCCCAACGCAGGAAAGAGGCGGGAGGGGTGCGGGAGAGGCACCAGCGAGCCCTCTGCCCAATTTCTCTCCAGAAGAGCAAGGTGGAAGGTAGAGTGAGGAGGGGCGGCGGGGAGGGTGGGGTGGCGCTGCGCAGAGGTTGATCTCGGTCCCCTCCTTGCGGAGTCCGAAAAGGGGACCCGCGTCCTCGGGTTGGGAGGGTCCGGACGGGCGGCGGGGAACGTCCTCGCGTCTCTTACCCATGCTGGGGGCTCCCGCGGGGAGAAGCCCGGCGCCGCTGCTCCTCCTCCGGCTTGCAGTTCGCGCGGCCGCTCCAGCGGCAGGAGGCGGGCCCCCGCGCCCCTCTCGCCCCTCCCGAGCTCAGGCGGGGCGAGGAGGCGCCTCCATCCGCCCGCGACGCTCTCTGACCAGTCCCGTCAGCGCCGCCCGTGAAGAAGCGGCGGCGACGGCAGCTCCTCACGCCCGGCCTCCACCGAAGCCACGGCAGCGGGAGGGCCCTTCCCCGCCCGCCCAGATGGTGGTTTTTCCCACCCGGTTGCCCGCGCAGTGGGGTAGGAACCTGGTGGTTCGTCCGGCCGCCGGCTCCAACCCGGAGCGCCCTCCCAGCCCGGGACCCCGGCCCGCGCCCCTCCCTCAGCGCCGCCGTTCTAGAACGCGACGGCAAAACCTGCAGGACAGACCCAGGCAGTGGCTAGGAAGGTGCGGAGAACTGGGCCGAGGAGAAATCAAGTCTCGCGAGAACTCGCCTAGTTTCCCCCGCACCCCCTCCCCGCCCCGCCCCCGCAGCGTTCAGACTCTTCTCCCGGCCCCCGGGCTGAGGCCAGGTGCAGTGACGTTATGGCCCCGGTCGCCCGCCGCCATCGTCCAGGTGCGGCGTGCGGAGGAGTAGGGGATGAAGGAGAATTGCGGCTTGTCCTCCGCCCTGCGGTTCAGCCAGTTCGGTCGGGCGTTTTCTGTGGTTTTTCCGCTCAGCTGGATGCAAAGGGTTTTTGCTGATAGGCAAAGTGAGCCTGGGTCGCCCTGCTTTCCGCGGCAGTGTTGCTCTCGCCAAGAGTCAGGCTCTGGGGACGTAAAAGAAAAGAGGTGGCGAGGGGGAGAGCGAGCCCGCTTGCTTTGCCCCGCGGAGGCCCTGCCGTTGCAGGACCCTGTGGTTTACCTTGCAGTGTTCTGTATGAATGAGAAACATTTGTTCTTGGGGGGAGGGGGGACACGAACAACATAGGTACGAGAAAAATGCTGATTTACGGAAATAAACTGGGTTCCTTGAGGGTGCAATGGTTAAGAGCTCGTCTGGTAACCAAAAAGTCGGCACCTGGAATCCGCCAGCCGCGTCCTGGAAATCCTGTGGGGGCAGTTCTGTGTCGTATAGGGTCGCTATGAGTCGGAATAGACTCCACGGCAACGGGTTTGGTTTTTTTGGTTGTAGTCTCTGTCAGCTGAAGACAACTTTCTAAATCCCTTTTCTCTTCTGAAAGTGTAATTTAAATTGTTACCTGATCCAAAAATTTATATATATATAATCATAACAACTATATATACATCATGATTTGAAATATTATCAGGCATATTTTCTGCCCTCAAAACGAAGGATGTTGTAAGATTATTGTAATCAGAACATGAGCCTTTTTCTTAGAGACAAGTATGATTAATTCAGCAGGTCTTTTTTTTTATCCCTCCTGGTTAAATAGACCCAATTTCTGGGCGGTTGTGTGTGTGCGTGTGTATTTAGTGAGCAACATTTGTTGAACACCAACCAGTGTGCCTGGTGCCTTTTTAAAAAATTATGTCATTTAATTCCCACAGTTATCCAACACTAAAACTGGCTTGCCCTTTGCAACCTGGCAGGCCTGGGTTTATGAAACTCACCACAGCCATTTATTTTTTGGGAAACCTTGGATAAATTAACCTTACTAGACTTCAATTCTTGAATGTGTTGAAAGAAATCATTCTTAAACGGTGCAAATCACAGTATCTGGCACATAGTAGCAACCCTGTAAATATCCATTCACGCTATATCCTATGGGCCTACTTTTACTGTCTTTAAATTCATTTATTACTTCTAAAAAGGTTGCATATGGTGCTTTTATAATGAGAATTGTGAAACCGATAAGCGGAGGCCAAAAATGAGTGAAAAAAAATCAGTATACACACCTAAACAAGATATACTTTCTGTCTGTGTTGTATTGAAACCATGGAACATGGGCTTTTTTCAGTCAACAGATATTTATCGAGTATTACTTAAGTTCATTTTCCCCTACCAAGCAAACCAAAAAAAAAAAAAAAAATTTAAATACTGTCCTTGTCCTCGAGAACTTTGCATTCTAACTAAGAATTTAAAGGAAAATAAATTACTATGGGCAGTGTAGATTTCAGGGAGAAGGTATGAATTGAACAAAAGCTTGGAGGAGGGCAATAGTTCCAGCCCAGAGGAGTCCTAGAAATAAGGAGTGTATATGGAAATGTGAACAGAATATTCCTGACCTTTTAAGATATCAGTGTGGCTAGAGCAGCACATAAGAAAGTAGACCATTTAAAGTTTGAAACAATGGAGCTGGAGAGGCAGAAGATTAGTGGAAAGAGACATAAATACAATGTTAGAAGAGACCTAGATTCCTAGAAGAATGGCTGGTAAATAGAACTGAAGAGAAGTCAAAGAAAACTAACAGAAGGGGAAAAGAGGCCACTGGATTTGACTATAAATGGTCTCTTTTGGGGGAAAAAAATCTGCCCAAAAGCAAAGATAACAAGGCAGGAAGGGGTAGAAAATCAGGATGAAAGACGATGGGGAAACCAGGGCAGAAATGGGGAGAGTGCTGACATACTGTGGGGAATGAAACCAAGGTCATGAAATACTTTGTGTACAAACCATCAAATGGGAAACTAATTTGATAATTTGCTCTGTAAACTTTCACCTAAAGCAAAATTTAAAAAAAAAAAAGTCTCCTTTGAAAGTATAATTTCAGAATATATACAACAGAATATGTGTGTGTGTGAATGTACTATATATAACGGTATATATGTGTGGTGTGTGTGTGTATATATATATATATATATATACGCATGTATGTATGAGCCCCGGTGACACAGTGGTTAAGAGTTGGACTGCTAACCAAAAGGTCAACAGTTCGAATCCACCAGTCACTCCTTGGAAATCATATAGGGCAATTCTGCTGTGTCCTCTAGGGTCGTTATGAGTCAGAATGGATTCCACAACAATGGGTTTTATATCTGTCTATATGTATAGATAGTCAGTATATAATAACAGAAAAGTTAAAAGTCAAATTAAAGATTTCAGTGACTAAATGAATGTTAAGAAAGATAAGAACACCACAGGTAGATAAACCTGTTGTTGTTTAGTCAATTCCAACTCATAGAGACCCTATGGGACAGAGTAAAACTGCCCCCATAGGGTTTCCAAGGAGTGACAGGTGGATTCTAACTGCCAACCTTTTGGTTAGCAGCCAAACTCTTAACCACTAGGCCACCAGGGCTCCAATACAGGTAGATAAGGTGACCATATTTTCTGAACCAGAAATCAGGTCACATGATCTGACAACATGATAAAACATTTACAGTCAGTTCTATCCTAGAAATCCCAGGATCTGTACATCTCCATATAAACCATGTATTTTAGAAGTTTGAAAATTAAAATAAGCAAATTCACTTCGCAGATTCACAGATCAGTATCCCATTGGGGTAATTCTGAGATATTGGATCATAAAAGAAAATGGAGAGGATTAGAGAATAGGACCTGAAGGAATGATTGAGAAAACTGAAGTAAAGCTGAGAAGTAATTATAATCCCAAAATTAACACTGTCCTCCAAAGGCAAAGGCAAAGGGAATTCTAACAGAAGAATGAAATCTAAACTTACAAAATGGTATACAAAGGTACTTTCTAAACTTTTGAGTGCTGTGCAAATATTGGTTATTAATTTTTCCGTGGAGCTCTTTTCATCTTTGTCTTACCACCCAGCTTTAAGAGGCATTCAAGGCACAGGTCTACATTTTATACATTTTTTTGTATGCCTGACATTTTCCCCAGCTCAAAACATTGTTTTCCCCAGCAGTAAACATTAGTTGGATGAAAGAAAATGTGATGAGAAGATGGTGTCAGACTTAACACATATATTAGATTTAACCTGAGGAACAGTTTTTAATTCTGGAATCAAGATTTCTGGGGTCCATGGAGTTGGGGTGACCCACCCAAGCCATTGCCCTGAGGTGAGTGACCTTTTGAAACTTGATCTTTGAGCAGACTGGTCTAAAAGTCACCTTTAAGTCAAGCAGTGCTCTTGCTAATTAGTAAAGCCCATTTTGCCTTGGGCATTGTGCTCTTTTGAAGAATTCAGTCAGTTTCAGGAAACAGAAATTCCAGAGTCAGACTGAAAGCTGTGTTTTAGGGTAAACTGTTATTATGAAGGCACTGTTCAGGCCTGTTTCCATGGCAATGGTGGTAAAATGGGATATAAGATTGTTTAGAAGTTCTCTCATCTCTGGAACACTTTGACTCTCTAATCAGAAGTGTTGCCCGACTTGCAAATTATATATTAAATAAACTTCAAATCAATTTATATCATTGACTTAATATGATACTTGTTTTAACAAACCTCAGTTCCTTTCAGCTAAAAACAGATTTTTTTTTTTTTTTTTGCCTTTCTTTTTTCCTTAATTAGTATTCTCATATCATACTGAATTGGGTTTGTTTACATCCATCTGTACTCACCCTACAAGGAGCCCTGGTGGTACAGTGGTTAAGCCCTCTGCTGCTATCACAAAGATTGGCAGTTCAAACTCACCAGCTGCTCTGCGTGAGAAAGATGTGACAGTTTGCTTCCATAAAGATTACAGCCTTGGTAACTCACACACACACACACACACACACGCACACACACACACACACACACGCACACACACACACACAAAGACCAGCCTTACTGGTCAGACAGAGACTGGAGAAACCCCGAGAGTATGGCCCCTGGACACCCTTTTAGCTCAGTAATGAAGTCACTCCTGAGGTTCACCCTTCAGCCAAACGTTAGACAGGCCCATAAAACAAAACAAGACTAAAGGGGCACACCGGCCCAGGGCCAAGGACTAGAAGGCTGGAGGGAACAGGAAAGCTGGTAATAGGGAACCCAAGGTCAAGAAGGGAGAGTGTTGACATGTTGTGGGGTTGGTAATGCATGTCACAAAACAATGTGTATTAATTGTTTAATGAGAAGTTAGTTTGTTCTGTAAGCCTTCATCTAAAGTACAATAATGAAAAAAAGAAAAGAAATTTAAATTAAAAAAAAAAAGATTACAGTCTTGGAAACCATATGGAGCCTTTCTGCTCTGCCCTATAGGGTCACTGTAAGTCAAAATCGACTCAATGTCAGTGGATTTGATTTTGATTTTGGTCCTCACCCTTCTTTGTATTCCAGGAAAACGGCATTAACACCACTCTAAGCATTAACCTCTTTTTCTGCTAAATATTGAACGTGTTAATCAGGCATCAAAGAGGTATTACAATGTCTGTGACTGACACAATTTCAGACCAATCTAATTGATGCCAAACTGCCATTAGTTCTTCCTTATGTTTTCTCAGGAATTTACAACAAGATATCTAAATTGAATAGATCATCTACCTTCTTTCCTTTCGGTGAAAACTATTTTAACCAGGAAAATTATGCTGAAGGAAAATAAGTTAAATATTACCTTGACTGTGTTATTTTTAAGGCACGCACGTAGCTCAAATCTTATGCACAACTAATTCTTATTTTGTATCTTTATTCTCCTTCATTTCACAGTGCTAAGTTTCCTGGGCAATTTCTTATTGTTATCTTATTTTGGCTTGGCTGATTTACTGTATACTTAAATTACATCAATGCATAACCTGAATTTTAAAAATCATTCTTTGGAAAACAATTGCAGGAAATAATAATCTCAGTCATAATACCTAAACTGTGAGGTCATTGAAGCAGAAAATCTCCCTGCTCTAAATGGTGACCCATCAGCTTGTAACAAAATCCTGTTAGTCTGCTAGCAATTTGGGGGATGTGCACAGGCATTTGACCACTCTAAGCACTTCATTATTGCACAT